GAGACCCACATCAATCAACACGTCTGCTTTCAAAAATTCCGTCACGCCTGGGTTTCCGGCTTGACTGGTGCGATCGTGTCGTACATTGATCTTGAGTGTTTCGGGGAGGATCTCCAGAAGCTGGAACGTTGATTGAATGTTCAGTATAATTTCACTCAGTTGAACCTAGAGGATATATTAATCAAAGATACTGAAATGACTCTTGACTCACGTCGCCTCGTATATATCTCGCCTTCTCATTTCGAACGTGTTCAAAGAAGATGTCGTTGACAATGGGAGTGTCTGAGTAGAATCGTTTGTGTGCTGGTGTAAGATGTCTGAGGTTGCGATAGTGAAAAGCGACGAGGGCATGCTCGACCAGACGTCCAAAGGAATTTTGAAGCGAATAGGGGCAGGTACCCATGATGACAGAGAAGAACCAGTTTCGAGGGATGAACCACTTCACGCCGAAGAGTTGGTGGTCGTCAGTCAAAAGATATTTACAAAGGTCGGGAAACAAATTTAATGGTCACCTTATCGGTACGGGATAGAAGTGAAACTTCGGCCGCTCCTGAGTTGACCGCCAACTCAACAGCTTCCACTCCACTTGCACCACCCCCGATTGCCACTACGCGCTTGTTCCGAAGTTCTAATCCGTCCAAATCTGACGAGTGTACCACAGGTCCCGTGAACTTCTCACGCCCGAGCGCATGAAGTGTCTTTGGCTGACCGCACGTTCCAATGGCTACGATCAGACCATCAAAAACACCGTCTTCACCACCATTGATAGTCCATTGGGTTTTCCCGTCCGAGACAAGGCGGTTTACATTGCGGACCGTAAACTTCGAGTAGGCGATGAGCAAAATGTACATCAATCATCAATCCCACTTTTTTGAAAGACCATGCTTCAGATGAAACTACGACTCACATCAAACTTGGTGTGGGATTCGAGTTGATAGGTCTCCCAGATCCGGGTAATTTCGGATAGAATCTCATGCTGCGTAAAAAAAAACATCAGTGAGATGACAAGTTTGGCTGTAATATTCCCAGAAGAGGTAGCTGACCTGCTTGACTGGAAATCCACGAGACCAGATAACGGCGGGATGGAAGCGATAAAGTAAAGAATTGAGTTGTAAACTCGATGTCCTAAAGTCAACGTGAAAAAATAAAAAAAATTAGCACTGAATCCGCTTTGTTGGCACATGGAAATAAGAAACTTTGGCGCACTGGTTAACAGCGGACCATATACCGCCCAACTGTGACTTGCTCTCATATATTACGACATCAAATCCATTGCTGAATTACCAACGGCAGGGATGATTGGACATGATACTTGGTGAGATGTTGATATGTACCATATACAGCTTGAAACACTCACGCCACACAGTGCGCGGCACTAGAGACACCCGTGACGCCTGCACCGATGATCGCGATCCGACCCAGGGGCTTCTCGAGAGGCGACTTGGCTTTGGGGGCTTGAGGTGCAAAGATCAAGGTGATGATGAACTGGAACAGGCTGTAAAATATTTGTAGCAGTCGATCCCCTATCACTTCCCTGACGCGCCTCGAAGTTGTTGGCTTGGCTGAATGAAAAAAAAAAAAAACAAGACTATAGGTCAGCGAGCGCCTTGAGGATTGAGTGATAGGTACAAGAAAAGATTGGGGCTAACCAATCGGATGTAATTGGGTCATTGTTATTAGAGGGAGGGAAGCGTGGAAGGATATCCGAAGAGCGGATGTAGGAGGTAAAGGAAAAGAGTAAGTTAGAAATGGTTATGAGAGAGATTTGGAAAGGAACATCCTTACCGGGTTGGTTTTTGATCAGCCAGTATGACGTAGCGAACATAAATTGTCAAGTTGTTGATGAGTGATTAAGCCGAACTGACCTCGCATGACACTAGACAGACAGTCGATGGATTGTCGACAGTCGAACCTGCACAGACGATTGGCGGTACATCCTTAAGCATTCCCTCACTTTGCTGTTCATCCATGATCGACAAGAAAATCACCGTAAGCCAATATCAAATTACACTCTCTCTCTCATCTCCAAAATGGCAGACCCCGAACCTTACATAATCTTCCTACCTTGAAATTTTCACCCGTTCCCGAAAATCCGAACTCGGTTTGGACGAATCTCAATGAAGATCCTTTTGAGAATGATTGACAAACTTTATCTCGTCTCTCTCTCTCTCAGATTTACTTCAACCATTGGATAAGATGAGAGTACTTTTAGGTTCAGGAATAGAAATCAGACAACTGTTTTTATCTTTTTTTAATTCAAGCTAAAAACATCAAGTGAACCTGTTTTATGTACGTAATAAGAAAAATTCAGAGAAAACACAATTAATAGAGTGTCTGTTTACAAAAGCTGTGTGTGAGAAGAAAGAAAAAAAGAAGAAAAGAAAAGATTTATATCTAGAAAATGAAAATTAATAATCAAAGATTATTTTCTTACACCACTATGAGGTGTGTAAAACTGTGAATATGTTGATAACCAAGAAAAAAAAAATAAGCTGGATCAAGTTTAAGTAATTTTGAAAGAAAAATTGATTCTGATTGATTGTTGAAAAAGTTGATCGATTTCGAGTACTGTGACCCGAATAAACTGTTTATCAACTCAATCAAGTAAGAAGAAAAACAAGATAAGATAGAGATCTTGAACACTTGATTGAGGAAGAAGAAAGATTTTGATTGATATAAAAAAAAAGAAAATCACATATCAAAATTGTATTGTGGAAAATCAACCCCGCCGGGTCAGAATGGCAGGTTTCGAGGGGATTTACCCCATTGATGATTATATATGTTTTGATACTAGGCAACATACTGTTTTTTCTTGTTTTGTTGTGTTTCTTAGGGTATAATTAGTTCCCTACGCAAGCCTTCCCTACAATTAGTTTCCTACGCAAGCCATCGTTACGGATCAGGACACTGGAACTAAGCCCTTATCCGAGTCTGGCCGAGTTGGCACCACCACCTTTAGTTCTTACACTGCAACACACATGGATTCCATCCGGGTAGGGCACAAGGGGTAGTGACCCTTACCCCAATCTGGCCTAGTCCCTGACATTGTTTCCTTTACTCTCCTTTTTCTTTCTTTTCTTCATCTTGTGTACCAGACCCCTGAGTGGCTCTCGAGTGTTATGACTAATCCAAGTAGACGAGTATAAATAAGCGGTGTTGTACCTGTTGGTTGTTGCTCCCCTACCTCACTTCATCATTGCTCTCCTTCACTGACTCTCGTCTCTCACTTTACCGCTGCCTCTGCGCAGGTATTTCTCACTGCTGTCTTTCGCTCAATTTCATTGCCGCTCTGTGCTGATCCTCGCATCAACAGCCTGGCACAGATTCGAGACTCATACCATTTTAGTGTGTTTAATTAAAATCTTTAACATACATTACCTACTTCCATACGAATAAAAACAACTGTAGTAGAACGGTCCTTTGAATGAGCTCGACACATTATTTAGCCACATTCATCAACATCTAATGGTCTTTATCATAAGAGATGCCATCCAACGCTCTAACAATAACACAAAAAAGTTATATTGTTTTAATTTGTCAACATGTAGCCAATGGGCTAATGTGCATAAAGAAACAACAATGTCCAAGGTGGTTAAGAAAGTAGGTGAGCGACTATTTCTATAAGTAAACTATCTGTTCCACTGCCTTCCTTCACAAGCAGCTTTTATAATCCCCTGAGCTCTCAAACATGAGAATCTATCGAATGGGTTTCTCTATCCAGGATTGTGGGCGAGCTTGTTTTGAGCTGAGAGACAAGAGAAAGAAAGGGTGTCTGCTCATAGCTTGCTTTTTAGGTCTAAAAGAGAGGAAGTGGGTAACAGGAAAATGAATAAACTCTTGTTACCCCTTGCTTGTATGACCATACTCGCACCACTAGCTGGGTTTACTCAGACTGAATGCCAGCTTTGTGTATAACTTCAAGTGAATTAGAAAAGTGCACATGGAAATCCAGAGAAAAAAGAATGAGGTGTCTTCTTTAGACTGATCTGGCCAGGTTCAAGAGCCTATCGCACTCTGCCAAAAGTGTCTACTCAGAAGTACTTATCCGGTATCACTATGTGGAAAAAAAAAAAAAAAAACTCATATTGACTCACTGCTAAATTTTATTGGGGAAATTAAATAAGACGTGGTCACGATTTTTGTGTTCCTGATCAAAATCAATTTCATTTACCTGTAAAAATTTATCTTCTTCCATCTATTCAAATTTTTTTTTATTTCACCTCCTTTGTTGAAACATAAGTAATCAGTATGGTGATATTTTTAGGATAATGACTCAGGAAAAAAAAAAAATTAATCAGCTACAGATCTTCATAGTTTTGACTTTACATAGGTATATAAAGTTTGGTCATCAATTTTTGATTCCTGGCCCACGATCAATTTCATTTACCTGTCACTGCCAGAATTAATGACACTCCCCCATTGGGAAAATACTTTTAGTTTTCACTCTTCCTTCTATATGATCATATTTACTCAGTAGAAGGTAGATCTAACCTTTTATGTGCAAATCTTTCAGTAATGATGTATTATTACCATTCCAGTTTAGTATTATGGGTTACTGCAGGTTGTCTCATGTATAACTCTTGAGAATGAGCTATGACATGTTTGTAATATCATTATAATAATTTTTGTAGTCCCTTGGTACTTGTTGAGTACTCAGGGGCTGACATAGAGTCCCTGCCACTGTACTGGATTCCTAGGTTTATGGTACTGGTAAAATATCCAAAAACTTGTACCACAGCATCCCAGTGACACCTTCTGGGCTTTTCCAAGTGTTGAGATAGGACACCAACAGTGTAGAATAAATCTGGGTGAGTATATTGGGCAAGATTTACAACCAAGCCTATAATAGTGCTCCAATAGTTGAGTAGTTCTTTGAAAAATGCAAAGACTTCCTCATCACTAGTGCTGTAAAGTCTTTCACCAGCTGGCAGAGGTGTCAAGGTAGATTTGAGTGTAGTCATGTTTGTCATAGATAGGACATGATATTGTAGTCCAAGATATGGTTGGGGCTGGATTCAAACCAGCAATCAGATCCAATGGATCCAAACCCAACATACATGGGCTGCCTTAATCACTAGGCTACCTAACTGGTACATCAGGTGTATCCCTATTTCCCTATAGGGTATGGTTTACACCATGTGACCCACAGGTTACAACATATGGGATCACAGTGGATACACAGCTTCACCAAAGCTACACCTGTATACATAGAAAAGGTATACTACCATATGCCCCTCTGATTGGTACATGTAAATTTCTTTGTCCAGCATACCTTTTAGGAATGAAGTCACTGCATCCATCTGGTGGACCTCCCATCTAATAGATATACATCTCTGTAGCAATGGGTGTAATGTTAAATCATGATTCTTGTTATGCTCTTGGTTGAACTCTAGGCAGCAGACAGAAATCTACCATCCTTACCATGCTCATGAGAGATACAGTATTGTGACACATACACACACACACAGACCAATCATGTTCACTGACAAATGAGAAGAGCCAAGAGAAAGAATACAAGTTAATTGTTATTGAGATATCTCATCATCTCTCTAGTTCTGAGTGCTGCTCAACTCACATCAAGAGGGCAACTGGAAGAGAGGATTTCCAGTGAAGTTGAAAGAGGCTAGATGATGGAAAGCCTTCAAGGTCAAAAGAAGCACATAATCAAAGGTAAAAAAAAAAAAAATCTTCACCTGTAGGTGAATCCATTCTGACTATAAGTGTCATCCTTGTGCAGGGGCCATGCTAATCTTCTCTGTATCATTCCAATTTTAACATATGCACCACCAAAGTGGGCACACGGAAGCATTATTTTGAATATATGGATGACTCAAAGTTTTCCCTGGTTTGAATCACAGCAAACCTAACCAAATCCTCACTACAGTTCCAGCATTTTTTGAGGACTGGTCCTCCCCAAGGAAGAATCACATGTTGACAGGAGTACTTGGTCTCCTATGGCAAAATCTGACTCTTCATGGGAATTATCCCACCTTTCTTTCTCATACTCAACTGCTTCTTTGACACAAGTTGAAGAAAACATTCTTGCTTTGTGTAGCATAGAAGCAAAGTTGAGTGATGTAGAATGCATTTCCACATCTCTTGAATTGAACTTCTTGCTAAAGCAGCAGTGAATTCAAAATTTTTGAATCCAGTCCAAACTTTAATCTACTTTAAACCTGCTTACCATGAATCTTTGGGTCATCTGGACCTTTAAGTTCAAATAGATGTAGTACAAAAATCAGAAATCTAAAAGACTATCTATTCTAGCAAAAATCTGTTGCTTCCCCAAATTACAATGTGTGCCATTTCCCAGAGACTCCCAAACAGTAATTGCTCATCTGGCAAGAATTCAACAAAATTTGAACTTGCCTCAACAGTCCAGACCAACCTGTCTGTGCTCAAAACATCCTTCTTAGTAAAAAGTATACTCACCAAGCTTGATTCCATCCTGCGGGTAGAAAGGTTCATCTGCCAATCTTGGTGCTTTCCTCATCTGTGCTAACTTCCACCACCCATTGACCACCATCTCCTTTCTTTTCCCTCACCCTCTCCACCCTCTTCATCCCCTTGACTTATACATTACATCATTTCCTTTGACAAATCTTGAAAAACCTCAATACCAACAACATCACTCACCAATTCCTCCTCTTCTTCACCTTATCTCTCTCTGAAGAAACTCACACAAAAATCCTCACTTCCTTTGGCTTATCTAACTTTCTCTTGCTCATCTCACTTTATTCCAGCTCGTCTATTTTCCTTGGTGTGTACTGGCTGAAAGGAAAACTGCCACCTTGCAAGCTTGAAGGTTGCTTCTCTGTCTGAGAGGAGGGCTAATCTGTCCCCTTGCTGACCATAAGAGGCATAACCAGCCCATCACAGTGCATCTTCCAACAGCCCTGCCACTCACTTGACTGTGAAGTGTGATCCCCTTAGTTAAAAATAAAATAAAAATAGAAATCCAAGAGCCAAACTGGGTGCTTAGCACAGGCACCCATTTCTTTGGCTTTCTCTACACTAACTTATGTCATTTTTCAATCATTTCTTTTGCTTCTATTTGTCGTATCTATCCACCAAGCCAGAGGATGTTATATGCCTCACTTGTGACCTAGTACTTGACTCTGCATCTGCTCTACCTTTGCTCAAGTGTTCAATTCACACTCTCAAGCAGCCTTCATTAGGGCTTGTGCCTTTATACTTAACAATAAAACTGGTATTGCACAAAAAAAAAAGAGAGAAGAGTTCCTTTTTTGTCTTTTGGGGCAGATATCATATACTGGTGACAGCTAAAGACCTTCTTTCTTTTTGCTTGTATCTTTGCATACAATGCATAAAATGCTTTATCAGAGGGAGTTAATGTAGCAGCTGTTCCATTTTTCAAATACATGCCTTGTGGCTTGCACAGAGCTGAGTAACACATTTTGTACCCTGCCCTTGGTCCCCTAATCTGAAGTCAACTGACACCACAGGGGAACACAAGTGGGTGCTTGTTGCAGTAGGATCCTTCAAGTATATCCATTCCCAAGTTTTACTAACAACACATGCAATCACAACCCTCATGCTTGGGGCCCAGTGGCTTGCAGTTGCAGCAGTCTCTGCTTTCTATCTGCTCAGCACGGTCAGAAATGCCGGGCATGGGCACACAGTTTATAAACGCTCCAAAGTGTAGACACCAAAAGAGTACATATAAACAGCTTCCAAGCAACACCTTTACAATCAGAAGGATGGAGGCTGACCTCCATATTTTGTTTCTAATTTGATAGAGCATAGAAGTGACCAAATTTTGAACATGAGCTTCTTTGCTTTCGGGAAAATATACCCAATATTTTTGGGTCTTCATTCATGGAAGAAGTTCCTAGTGACTGCAACAAGCAAAAATTTTGTCAGTGTAAGATACAATTGATGAAAATGACAGTTTCATTACACAGACTTCTTGAAACCTAATTTGATACAAAAAAAAAAAAAAATGGTTTTCCATGAAAAGAGTTTTTCAAAGCATGTCCCTTTTGTAAACCATTTTCAGCTATTTGGTCCTTGGTCTTCATATTAAACTGTATTTAAAAGCTTGGAGGATCCTTGCACCCCAAAACCAAGTTGAATTCTGGGGATTTAATAGCTGTGTTGAAGAACTGACTCTTAATTTGAATTTCCACATGTTGGTGTTGATTTGAAATTGGAGTATTGAGCTCATGCTCAAATGGATTGGTCAAGTGTATGCCCACCCAACCTGAAAAGGTGACATGAATTAAAATGGTCTTCTCAGGCTCAAGCTTGAGAAAGTTTGTAAAAAAAACTTGAAGGTGAGCACAGATCTTTGGTTCTTTTTTATTCATCATTTTTCTATTCTGTCTCTTACTTGTTTCTTTCTCTACTACTGTACATAGATGCTGCTGCAAAGGAACCCAAAGCTGAAAGAACAATCTTGGCTATGTTGGAAGCATCAGCCTCAACTGGGAAAAAGCAACATGTGATCCCAAATGGTCAAGTCAAGACTGCAAACATTGCAAAGAAGGCCAAGAATTATATTCCTCCCAAAAATGATTCATCCACATCTCATCACAGCTATGATCTCACCTTCAAGACAGAAGTACTTGCCTGGCATCATCAAGGCTGAAAGATTCAGCATGAAACAGCATGCCACTTCAACATCAAACAGTCAACAATCAGCTGGTGGCTCAAGGATGAAGACAAGATCCAGAAGAACTCACATATCAATGGAGGTGCCATTTGTAAACAACACATGGCACAATATCCTGAACTTGAGCAAGCACTGTATCACTGGGTGATCGAGGCCCAGGAGTGTGATCACCCAATCAATGATGAGGTGATACAAATGAAGGCTCACCATTTCTCTGCCATCCTTGGAATCAAAATGAAATTCTCTGATGGATGGATGACAAAATTCAAGAAATGTTACAACATTCACAAAGTCACCCTCCATGGTGAAGCTTCATCAGTGAACCCAGATGATGTGGCATCTGCATGTGCTCAGCTCCTGGAAATAACCAAGGATTACAAGCCTCACAACATTTATGATGCTGATGAATCTGGCCTATGTTATCAGTAAGTCCTCCTTTCCTTCTCCTCCTCCCAATTGACTTTTGATTTGATCTTGAGCTTCATTCTTTTTTTTTTTCTTAGCATGCCACCAAATAAGGTGTTAGCAACTGAACAGAAAGCTGGTGTGAAAGGTGATAAGTCTCAAATCACATACCTCCTTTGTGCAAATGCCAACGGGACCCACAAGCTCGATCCTTTGGTGATTGGGAGTTCAGCCAAGCTAAAATCTTTCAGAGGCAAGCCAGCTCACCACTACGGTTTTCAATACACTTCCAACAAAAACACTTGAATGACTGGACAGATATTTGGTGATTGGCTGCAAAAACTTGACCACAAGTTTTGCAAAGAAAGCCAAAAGATATTACTTTTGCTTGACAACTTTTCCGGTCACAAAGCACCTGTCAAAACCCTCAACTTGACAAATATAGATGTATATTTCATTCCTCCCAACCTCACCAGCCATCTTCAGCCCTGTGATGCTGGGATTATAGCCGCCTGGAAAGCTCACTACCGATGTGACACAATCTCCCTGGTCATTTCAAAATACAAAGACAATCCACAGAGGTCAGCTAAGGAAGTCTACCGCCTTCCACTCCTTGATGCCATGCAAGTGGCTGATTTATCCTGGAAACATGTCTCTTGCAAGACAATTTTGAATTGCTGGAAACACACACGAATCATTGCTGCACTCAACCAACAGCCTCCTTCCTCTTCTAACCCCAGCTGATCCCGAGCTTCAAACTGTAATCGATGAAGCTTCAATCATTCTCAAGAAACTCAAGTGGTGCAAAGGCCTAGATGAAAGTCGTTCTGAAGTCCGAATGAGTATTCAAACCCTCTTGAATCCCAAGATTGAATGTGACTCACCTGACAGCAATACACCAATGCCAACTGACACCAAAATTATCCAAGCTACCACAACTGAGTCCGATCCAGACACTTCTGAAGAACCTGAAGATGAACTCGAGGACTTTGGTGATGTCACTCGTACACCAATTTCTATGACTGAGATTTCTATCGCCATTGACAACA